GGAACTTAGACTTAAAACACTTTGCCTTGAGTCAGTTCAATCCAGTATGTTGCTGTTATGAAGGGTAATGTCTGCTCATTATCCTGAGCGTGAGGAACTCTTTGTTATGTCTACCTCAGAAGAACCTAGAGTAGTTAAAGAGACCTGAATTGGAAGTTACAAGAGAGTGTATCATCTATTTACTGGATAACTTTTAAGTTAGGACAAAAAAAACCTTTAAAATCCCTAACACCAGTAGCTTTATTTGACCAGAAACTGAGGTTCAGAAAAATTAGCAGATACACAGTGGAGTGAGTTAGGTGACCAGCATGACAGACTCAGTCCATATGATCTAGTTTCTGAACAGCTATCAGCAGATTCCTGGGGAGAATATAATTAACACTGTATTCTAATGCAGTCTTGGTGTTTGTATTGACATAGGATTTCTCATTTGTTCGGCATGGTCTGTTCGGTGTCAGAATATATGGGGATCTGCTAGGGACCAAAACGGAAATGTTCATTCTAGTAAATATAACTTTAAAATATTGGAGTTATTAAAAGTGTTCTTTGGTCTTCAAAAGGTGATTCTGATTATGTACACAGATTAGAGATTGGAATATGACCTTCTACTCATTTTATATGCTATTAGATCAACTTCTTTGTTGTTGAGATACATAAAACTTGCTATCATTATTGCAATACTAAATATTATGTATTATGATTTTAAGCTATTAAGTTGCGAACTTATAGATTTATCCTCCATTTTGAGCACTTTCCAAAAAATTTTCTGATGTTATTGACTACACGTATTTTCTAATCATTGTGTAATTTATGTATAGACTGTGCCAATGTCAGTTTTATAAGAATAAAAGCCATATCAAGTTTTTCAAGCAACACACATTAATAAATTATGTTTTTCTGAATTATTCAAATGTTTAAATTGTTGTAATTAGGGCCTGAAGAGATAGTATAGGGTGTAGGGCACTTGCTTTTCATGTCTTCAACCTGGGTTCATATATAGTCCCCTGATGCCAGGAGTGATGGCCTCTGGGTATGGCCCCAACACCAAAATATATTAATTGTATTAATTAAATAATGTTTTTCTCTCCTGAATAACTCGACAAGCCCTCATCAGAGACACGAACAATAACTCAACAGTTTAGAAATACAGTAGAGGCTTATTTTACTACTCACCTCTAGGGGAAAAGGTAATATTCAGAAATGATTCAATACATGTATATATGTATTCAGGAAATTTTGATTCATAGTTTGAGAAAATACAGAGAGTTATAAGGTATTTAATTGTAAAATTTTTATAATCCTCATGGGTTGTGCACATTCAAGAATAAAAACACAAGGACCAGAAAAATAGTAAGGGAAGTGCTTGCTTTTCAGACAACTAAGCAGGTTCAAGCCCCAGCATCCCATAGCATTTACTGAGCCTCACAAGGAGTGATCCCTGAGCAGAGAGCCAGGATTAAGCCCTGAGAACTTTCAGATATGACCCCAAAACCAAAACATAAAATCACATATAAAAGTTGGCTCTGGTTTTGTCTAAAGCTTGTTTTAAGAATGATGTTATTTTTAGTGTCTTGATTATTCTGGCCCTTAGTTACAAGGAGAGGTATCTGGAATCATTTTCTCCTCCCTGGATGGGAATAAATACTGGGCACAAGATAGAATGCTCCTTTTATTTTTCCGCCACTCGGTATTCTTTAGGGAAGAGTTCAAGCACAAAATACCCTTCATTCCTCTGTGTGCTGCTTAGAAGGACTGCAAGCATCAGCATGTGGCACAGTGAAAACGCAAATGTTTTACAAGCATGACACCTGGATTTGATCTATACTGAAAGGAAAAAGAATCCTGTAGGAACAGAACATTTCAGGTCCCTATATTTGCATTATCTTAACATCAAATCTGTGGACATTTTCTCCAAGAATGTCTTCATTTTCTGTAATACACTTTCTTTTGGGGTACCTGTTAAGAGTTCAATTCTTCAAGGGGGCAGCCTATTAAGATATTTCCCCTACATTTTTTCCTCTTCTTTTTGTTTCTCCATTAACTTTCAAATTCTGTCAGTAACACAGCCAAATTCTGGAGCACTCCTTATGAAACAAGGGGAGATGCTTTGTGAATTGCCACACTGTGCATGTGCAGTGACTTGTGAGTTTTTATCCAGCAGTTCCAGTTTCCCGCACATGTAACTGAAACAAACACCTGTGTTTCTCTTCAGCTCATCTTCCCCACTTGTTTTCTCAGCCCATTTGCACCCCATGTTAATATTAGATTCTGATTAGCCTGTGATTCCATCACCTTAGTCAAGTTACAGAATTTATTTAGGGAGGATTTCCTTGAAAAAGGGACTCTCTTGTCTATTTTTAAATTTAAAAAAATAAATATAATTATTTTGGGGGGATCTTGACGGTAACACCCAGTGATCTTCAGGGGCTCCCCCTGACAGTATTCAGGAGTGATCCCTGGTGGTAATTGGGAGACCATATATGGTGTCAGGGATTCAAACAAAGGTTGTTGGGAAGCAAGGCCAGTGCCTTAACCCCTGTACTGACTGTCTCTCTAACCCTCTTTACTCTTGATCAGTGTTATTACTGCTTGTGAAAAACCTGCACAGGAAGAAAAGCATGACCTCATATCCATATCGTAGAGGGGAAGAAATGTAGTGTGGAAAGGTATTGGTATTTCTACCAAAAGCCTATTCAAGGATTTTTAAGTTGAAGTAGAGTGGTAACATGCACTGTTGTTTAAAATACCTTTGAAGACTCTTTGAATTGTCTGCATACAAAGCTAAAATAATTTAATTTAATCTTTTTAATGTTTTCATAATGACCAGAAGTTTGGAAAAGCTGGTAAATGAGGTAAATTCAAAAGAAATAAAAAGAAAATGGCTGATGAACATGAAGATATTTGTTTTCAATACAGCATTAAACAAGTAGTCATTCATTCCTTAACTGTAAGATTGATTAAAATTAAAAATTTGAAAACTTATAGTGATAAAGGTTAGGAAAATTTGAAAACTTTAGTGATAAATGTTAGGAAAATACAATAATGTTGTTGTTGGAATTATAAATTTTGTGACCTTTCTGAAGGATGATTTGGCAGTACTTTACAAAACTTGAAATACATGTACAGTTTGACCAAGAAATGCCACAGGTATACCAAGATAGAGCCTTTGTTACAAGAATCTTTGCAGCATGTTTGTAGCATTATTTTAACAGACTAAACAGAAAGCAATCAGTGTCTTAAAAGAGTATATATGATACTGTTAAGCCATTAGAATAACATAAAATCATTTTAAGGGCCAGAGAGATAGGACAGTGGTTAGGGTGATTGCCTTGCAGATCCAGATTTGATCCCTGGAGTCCCTTAAGGTCCACAGAACCCTGTCAGGAATAACTTCTGAGTGCAGAGTTAGGAGGAAGCCCTGAAAACAACTGGGTGTGGCTCAGTACCCCTCCCCATCACTTAAAATGTGTCACTTTATATGAAAATGTTTTTAAAATTGGGTAAAAAAAATAATATATAAGAATGTGGACAATGTTCCATTTTTCCTTTTTTTTTAAAAAAAAGAGGAATGGAGGAATGAAAGGTCTGCTTATACGTACTTGTGCAAACAGCTTCTTAGATGCTTGTTGCTATAGATTCCTGCTCATTCTGGGAAGAGGGACCAGAGCCCAGAGATCTGGAGGGTATGGGAGTGGAAAAGAGAGAAAAGAGGAGAGAGAACATTTTTATACCCATACTTAACAGTAATTAACAGTAATGTTCTTTTTTTTTTTTTTGCTTTTTGGGTCACACCTGGCAATGCACAGGGGTTACTCCTGGCTCATGCACTCAGAAATCACCCCTGGCATTGCTTGGGGGACCATATGGGATGGTGGGAATCAAACCTGGGTTGGCCGCGTGCAAGGCAAACGCCCTACCCACTGTGCTATCACTCCAACCCCAATAGTAATGTTCTTAATGGATTTCAATAGAGGGTCTCCACTTTGTCTATGGGCTGACTTTTAAAACATAAATAATTAGTGAGGCTACCAATTGGGTGGAAATAAAAACTTCTCCCATTCTCAGAAATGAGAAGTCATGTGCTTGAACAGAGCCATCATTCAGTCATTTCAATAGGCTATTTGAAACAGTTCAAGCAAATTTAATGCCATTTTCCTCAAGAAGAATTTGCTTTGAACTCTGTGGATAATTATTCCAAGTACCTATCACTTCCGTAGAAAGAACACAATGATCAAATCACCCCATCTATTATTTCTAGTTTGGGGGCATCGTCTTTGAACTGGATGTGCCTATGATCCACCAGTAACCTGTAAGTGTGTTTTTATACCTGAATTGAATTCTGTAATAGCTATTACTTCTGCTTCCCATTTTTTGCCAGTTGCCTCACCTTTAAAGTTGACCAAATATGGGCTGGAGTAATAGTAGAGTGGGTAGGGCATTTGCCTTGCATGTGACCAACCTGGGTTTGATCCCCGGCATCCCATATGGTCCTCTGAGCACCACCAGGAGTGATTTCCAGAGTGCAGAGCCAGGAGTAACCTCTGAGCATCGCTGGGTGTGACCCCAAAAGCCAAAAATAAGTAAAATAAAATTGACCAAATAACATTTTACTTTGTTTCTGTTTAATAATTCAGAAAATTTGAGGTAACTTAGTTTCTGTGTCAAATAATTGATGTTCATATTTAATATCAACCTGGATACTATTAACCCTTGGCAATTTTCAGTTGTCTTGACTGGGGACTTCCTCAGCTCTCCTGTTCTGGCCTTGGACATCTCTCAAGAAATACCCTCTGCTGTGTCCTGTGTCACACTTTCCTACAGACTTACAGTGTGGCGGTGACTGAATGATGTTTTTCAACTCTCTCAACTCTCTCTCTCTCTCTCTCACTCATACACACTTTCTCTGTCTTTTTACTGCCTCCAAAGTTCTCCCTCTGCGTCCGTTCCCCCCCCACATCTAATCTGAACTCTCTGGGAGTGACAATGCTCATTTCTTTCAGATGGAGACTATTTTACCTTCACAAGACACGAACCCATTGGAGTATGTGGACAGATCATCCCAGTGAGTGTCTCCCTCATGCCTCAGATTTATTTTCATTTGAACCAGTTCTCTTAAGGATACATAAAACATGGACTTCAGTGATGTGTGTTTTCCATTACTGGGAGAAAAAAAAAACCAATCTTGTGTTGTTGACATATCTTCAACAGCCTCCCTGCAAATGCTTATTTGAACAGGTTAATAGGGTTTCAGCTCCGTTACTAGGAGTTGAGTTCTCAAGTCATGGAATTCTCATGATTAAAATAAGCAAAGCCAAGCCCAGTGTATTAATAACCTGCCCTTGGTTATGGATGTCCATTCTACTTATGGAAAATGAATGCTCTGTTATATTTGCTTATTTATTTTTTAGAGCTATGACTTACCATCTTTCAGGGCATATTGTTTTATATGGTCTTTTAATCCTATTCTTTACCACTGTTTCTTTTCACACAAATCTCGATAGAAGACTGCAGAAGACACAGCAGTACAATTAACGTCACGGTCATAATTGAAACCATGCCGGGCTGTTGTGTCTTGTAAAGGGAAATAGATGTAGTGCTCAGTGTTTGGATTGGAACATTAAACATTCCCTCTCTCCCCCCTCTCTCTCTCCTCCCTCCCATCTTCCTTTCTCTTTCCCTCCTCTAGCAGTCCTAGCTAATCATTCTGGCAGGAATTTCAGGGGAGACCCAAACTAAACACTGTATAGACAAGAATCATTTTCTTTTCAAAATAAGAGAGAATTGAATTCAAGATAATTTGACCTTGGGGCCCAAAGATTTTGAAAGGCGTTAATATTTAATGATTTGCAAATTCTTGAATCACTATAAAATTCATCAAAAGAGGAAAGGAGAACACGTGAAACTTGGCTTAAGTTCTTGTATTGCTAAACCACTCAACAAAATCCCTCTTGGATCTGAGCTGGGAGGCAGGTCTGGTACCTTAATTGCCGACTTCAAACCTGCTCTTCTTGGTCTTCTACAGTTTGAAGCTGTGGCACTCACTGACAGGACAAGAGCCACTTGTCAGCCAACTCCAGCTCAATTACTGTGCTTCAAGATTTATATACTGTAGATGGAATTAAAACATCACTGTGGACTCCCAAGTTTATAAACAACTAAGGGGAAAAGAAATTGGGTGTTTGGTGAAGGCAAGACACTTGTATATTTTTGCAAGCTTGCCAAGGCCAGTGAGAATCTTTCAAGAATGGCAGCTGAGATGCTTCAGGCAGAAACAGTGTGGTCAGGGGCTAGAGCCAGGGAACCAGGATTTCTGTTTTCTTTCTTAATGAAATTATTGATGACACCTGATAGTACTGAGGCTCATGCCTTTGCTTATAACAATACAAACTTAATATCTTTTCAAAATCTGCTTAAATCATTTCAGGCCCCAGATTTAGATACTCATGTATATACTCTGTTTCCTCTTAGTTTATTTTGTGGTGGAAAGAAGAGAAACTAAAATTTTTATAGGCTGATCAATAAAAACACTTTGATTTTAGCAATCATGTCATTTTGTGTCTATACATATGCATGTATGCAACTAAATGTATGTGCATTACAAAATGAGTATATATTTGTAAAGTAAAGGTGCGTCTATGAAATATATTGGCTTAAATATAATTCCCAGCTGGAATTTTCTCTTCTAATTCTTCTGCAATGAAGAGTTCCACACCAGTATGGAAATTCAGGTGTAAAATTTCCTAATGCAAGAAAAAGTTGTTATACTCACGAACTTACTGGAACAAAAGTCTAATTTTAAAAACATGTAACAACACTGAAACACTAAACCAAAACAAGGAAAAAGCAAAGACTCCCTTTCACATGAGATTTCTTTTTGTGGGTAGTTGGAATACAGTAATTTGCTGAACACAGAGAAAAGGGAGGTTTCACAACCAGTCCCATTCTATTCTTAATGGAATAATTTTAAAAGTCTAAACATCTCTATTGTGTAACAGATTAGATTTATGTTAAGGACTAGTCTGCGAAATCTGAGAAGTCACAGCTTGAAAACAAAGTCATGTAGGAATATTTTTCCATCTATCAATCCTGTGAGTTTTTTTCCCTTTCAGTGGAACTTCCCCCTGCTGATGTTTGCCTGGAAAATTGCTCCAGCTCTGTGCTGTGGCAATACAGTAGTTATTAAACCAGCAGAACAAACACCTCTCAGTGCACTCTACATGGGAGCCCTCATCAAAGAGGTAAGAGAGGCCCCTTCAGGAATGGCTCTGGGCCTACTGGAGCACGTCTGATTCACTATCCTGCATCAACTTGCTAGAGCCATGTCTTCTCAATTGTGTTTTGTTAGGCTGGATTTCCACCAGGAGTCATCAATATTTTGCCAGGATATGGGCCAACGGCTGGGGCAGCAATAGCTTCTCACACTGGCATTGACAAGATTGCATTCACAGGGTCTACCGAGGTAGGTACCTAAACACCATGGGGTTGAGGAGTAGTCCTGCAAATGAGGTTGAGAGAAAATTTCCTGAATATGTTCCCAACTGGGCTGGACCAAGAGAGCAGTGAGACCCCAGAGCCTCTAAGGGGCCAGTGTTGGTATCTCAGCTGTAACATGGTAAACGCCTGGGGAAAGGCTGATTGTTGACCATTGGACAAAAACTGTAGCTCTGTAGCACTGTCCTCCCATTGTTCATCAATTTGCTCGAGTGGGCCAGTAACATCTCCATTGTGAGACTTGTGATTACTGTGTTTGTCATATCAAATACATCATGGGTAACTTGCCAGGGCTGGAGTGGTAGCACAGCCGTAGGGCTTTTGCTTTGCACGCAGCCAGCCCGGCTGACCCAGGTTCGATTCCTCCGCCCCTCTCTGAGAGCCCCACAAGCTACCGAGAATGTCTCACCCTCACGGCAAAGCCTGGACAAAAACAGTCATTATAATTATGAAATTATGAAATGAAAGGAACATCAGAGGGGAAACTCAGGCATACAAACAAAAAACTGCCATAGAAGGACTATGCCAGAAGCTGGGAATCTCAGCATATTCTTGAATCAAGAGAGCAATATTGCCTTGGCAAGCTAAAAGGCTGGGGGCTAAATTCATCTCTGCTAAAGACTAAGATGGAAACCAGGATCCCTTCTCATTAGTTCACTGGAGTCTCTAGCTAGGTACAGCTGATAACCTACCCCGTGCGGCATAGGGGAGGTAGAAAGCAGGGTTCCGCAAGCTTTCTGTTGAAAGGAAGGCAGGAAATATAAAATTCCAAAGGCAGTTCATTCTCTATTATGGTGCTTCTCACTCTTTTCCCACCCCTGTTCTGGCCCATTTTTTCCCTGTGATCCTTCAGTACTCCCAGTTGGCTCCTAGTCTCATGCTGTGCTAATCTCCCCCTCCCCCTTTTATGAAGTTTTCACCTGTGTCCCCCTTGGAATGCCTGGAAGGAACCCAGTGTGCCATATTCCCTTGTTGGAGAAACACTGATTTATTGCAACTCTACCTTTCAGGAAGTAGCCATCTGTGAGGTGTAAATGTGTAAACTGAGCTACTTATCAGCTTCAAAATGAGAATTTCATGTATATTTTATCATAAAGTAATCTTTATATTTTTTAAAAATAATATTTTAAAAACAGAAACTTTTTAGGAAAGCTTCATAGGAAACAGAGCAAGTTTGACCCAAAGCCCATAGTTAATGAGCCCTTGACAGGTCAGTTTGGGAAGATTTTTTTAATAAAGTGTTCTCCTTAGTATCTTTGATGCAGGTAACACGGACAATGAAAGATAGAGTTCGATTCCTTTCAAGTAGAACTTCTTAGATGATACTCTATTGAATGAAGGATGCTTAAATCTAGAGCAGTTCTATATAACAGAAATATTACGTGAATAGCATTTGTCATTTCAACTTCCCATCTAGCCACATTAAAGCAAATTAAAATGTTACTTTAATCCATTATTTCTAAAATATCATTTCAAGATATAATCAATATAAAAATAATTTTCATCACATGTTGTATTTCTTTTGTCAGGTATCTTTACCATCTGACAGGGATTTACATTTATAGTGCATTTCAGTTTACACTTGCCACTTTTCAAGTTCTCACTAGCTCTGAGTGGCTAGAAACTGTCATCTAGGAGAGCAATGTTCTGGGATTTGATTCTCTCTGTTGATACAGTTAATGATACTTAGTTAAACTAACTCATGTTAAAAAGTTTCTTAGGAAAGTAATTGATAAAACCTGTTGTTATTTTTTTTTTTTTGGCTGTGTTTGGCAAGAGTTTATCTTGTTTGTTTCCAAACCATTGCTTCTGGTTGTACTTGCTACAGTGATTTTTTTTTTCTATTTTAATGAACCAGATAAAAGAGAGTGTGAAAGGAAATTACTGTTTCTACTTAAATTAAGTCTAATGTTTTGAGTAGCTCTGCTTAAGGACTAGATATGAAGACAAACTGCAATTAGGAATGGGCAAGACTAGTTACAAATGATTGGGGAAAAATATAAACGTGGGTAGAGGGTGCACTTGGATTTCTTTGCAAATTTATTTACATCTTCATTTACTCTAAGAAACTGAAATCAGAAATCTTAAACACTATTTTAGGAGTATAGGTTTAATTAGGAAGGCAAGTGAACTTATAATTAAAGGTTTTGGCTCTATATCCAAGCCTACAGAATGAATGTATATATTTTTCAAACTTAAAAAAATATTAAAAAGTACCCTTTACTGCTTTACCTCTTTTTCAGTTAACTAACAAAAGGTCCTAATTGAGTCAGCTAAGAGACTTCTACTGTATTACATTTAAAAATAAAAGCGAGATCACAGTGTATAAAATGAGATGTCACACTTTGATTTCAGTGTGTATAGGTCGTCTTATTTTATTTTAATAGCTGAGTAGAACACTCTTGCATCAGTGTGTCATAGTTTAATTTATCCATCATTTACTTCAAAGTGATTTATACATTTCCTCCTATTATATGAGCTTCTGGAACAAAAGACCTTGGAGAAATAAAACGTTTTTTTCTACATATGGTAGATGTTCTGTTTGGATAGGACTTAGAAATGGATTTTTAAAGGAAGGATATTTACATTTTTACTTGGCTATTGCCAAAAATGCTGTAGGATGATTGTTTTATTTAAAGGACCTCTTTCTGTGGTAAGTATCTTAATCTCTGTTTCTTTAGTGTGTTCAGATAGTATTAACTTGTTCTTTGCTTTTTAAAAAGCTTTATTAAAGCAGTTGTTTGGAATACTAAGTTTGAAGTTTATATGTTGTGATATCTTTCTGTGTTTCTCTAAATGGCTTCTGGATTTCTTGTCATCTTTAAAGAAACCCTTTAAAGATTATATAAGTGGTTCTTAAACATTTTCTTTCAGTACCTTTATTGTCTTGTTTAAATCTTGAGTCTGGTTGAAAAATTGTTTATGTGTAATTGAAAGGTGAGACCTGAGTTTTATTTACTTATTTTTCTAGATGAGTGTTCAGTTACCTCAACATCATTCATTAAACAAACTGGCCCTTTGCTTGTCATGAATACAGTCTGACTTTGCTGAAGGTATTTCCATCTATACATATTATAGTGCTCAGAATTTTGTCTTTTCTTTTACCTAGTACTATACTGCTTTAATTCTAGACTTTCTGTGTTGCAGTTTGGTTGGCATAGTACCCTCTTACTTGATTTTTCAAAATATTTTGGCTTATTCTTACCCATCCTTTTAGATAAAGTCTCAAATTAGTTGTTTAGGTACCTTGTCTTGCTCCCAAAATTCGGCTTGTAATGGCATAACATGTCTATTCAGGTAAGGGTAAGTGTTTTCTCTGCAGAGAAGAGCAGGTCAAATACCTGTGTCTGACTTGTCCTATACTCACCAAGAGTAGTGCCATTAGCTATGTCTCAGGCATTTCTTGGTAAGTTAATTTCTAAGTAATCAACAGTTTGTTCCAAGATGGTTTCAGTCTGGGGCTGGCATGACAGTACAGCAGGAGGAGGGATGCTTGGCTTCCACGCAGCCCACCCAGGTTTGATCCCCAGCACCACATCCCGTGAGCACCTTCAGGAGTAACCCCTGAGCATTGCCAGGTGTGGCTGAAAAAAAAAGAGGGAAAAAAGTTGTTCCAAGAATATATCAATTTAAAATGAGAACTTTTCAAAATTACAGTGCCTGATTTTGGAAAATTATTGTGAACGGAGAACTTAGTGGACAGGAATTGGCATGGTGAATGAGTGAAAGAATAAAATGTTTCTTTCCAGGCTACTTGGATCTAAATCTCTATTTTCCAATTAAGATATTATTGGCAATTTACAAAAATTTTGTTGGAGAATAAATTTTTTGTATCCTATAACTTACAACTAATAAAATGTATCCATTTATGTATCAGTTAGTGCACTCATGTGACCATCACCCAACCCTAGAAGATTTCTCATGTCTAGTTATTGCTTAACCCATCTTAGCTCCAGAAAACCAGTATTAATTTTAAAAATTAATTTTTCCTACTCTGGACTTTTATATAAACATAATACAACATGCCTCTCCTATTGATTCTCATTGGTTGTTGATGTTCAGCTTTTAATGATTTATTGATATGGTTGGATTTATATCTACCATCTTGATTTTTGTGTTCTACTTAATCTGACCTGGGTCTTTTTGTTCTTTGTTGATCATTTTTTCTCTTTATGCCTTCTTGTAGATGAACAGAGTACTTAATTTGTTATCTTATTTTTAGAATTAGCTCCACCTCATTGATTGCTTTCGTATTTGCAATATGCATTACACAATCTATCATGAAATAATATTGTTACTTTATAATGCAGCCGCCATAATGGAGAATAATTTTATTTATCATTCCATCCTTTATGCAGTCATTTATTGCTACATATAGTACATACCCACAGTACATTGCTATTCTATTTTTTAAAATTTTTGTGGGAAGAGGGCATTCCCAGCTGTTCCCAAGACCCTGGGAGAACTCCTAGGTAGAGTTGGCCTGGTAATAATCCTGAGTCTTGATCCTGATTTGCTGCTCATGCCTGGCTCTACAGAGATTCCAGGACTATACCCAGGTGATGTTCACAGGGACCATGTGCATGAGGGATCAAACCTGAGGTCATATATTCAAGACGTCTTTTCACTCCAACCCGACCCTTGCACTCTGCTCCCTAATCTCACAGACACTGCTAGTGCTTTTGTTTTCAAAATGCTTTTTTGCTTTTCTTTTTTGGCAGTAATAGGGATTGAAGCTAGGCCCTTACAAATTCAAGGCAAGTGTTCAACCACAGAACCCTTTAACTGTGTTTTTGAAATTGTCTTTAAATGATGTAACAAAATTTTTTAAAATTTACTTTCACATTCACCAATTCTGGGTTTCTTAAGATATATGACCAGTCATGAAAGCCCTGAAGTAATAAAGCCTCTCAACTTTTGTTTCTCTGAAAATTCTTTGGTTTTTCTTCAAATTTTAAATTAAAGTAT